GCTCGGCGGCGCGCGGCCGCGGCTCGCGCGCGCGGGCCGCGGCGGCGCGCTGACGACCGCGGCCGTCGCGGACGTGATCGCGCGGTGCGACGACCTCGACGCCGACGCCTTCGCCGCGCCGGCCATGGAGGCCGCGCGCGCGACGCGCCTCGGCGCGGCCTGGCGCGACCGGCTCGCCGGGCCGGCGTTCCGCGCGCCGCGCGCCGCGCCCGAGGCCGGCGAGGCCGCGGTCGCCGTCGACGTCTCGAACTTGCGTTTTGATGTGCGGTTGCTTCGCGTTGTGTTGGAGCAACTACTACTACCCAGCGCGGAGCTCCGGGCGTCGACGCTGGCCGTGGCGGCACCGCGGGACCGCGACGCCGCGCGGCCCGCCCTCCGGCGCCTCCTCGACAACGCGCGGGCCAAGGTCGAGGGCAAGAAGGCCGTCGACGGCCGCCTCGCGGCGCTCGACCACGACCTCCGGGCCTTCCGCGCGAAGCGCCCGGCGTTCCGCGCGCTGACCGCGCTCGCGGGGTCGCTGCGGCTCGCGGAGAACGGCCGCCGCGTGGCGGCGCCCTGCGGCCTCGACGGCAATGCGCGCGTCGCGTCGCTCTGGGCCCAGCCGCGGAACCACGCCGCGCGCGCGGGTCCGCTCGTCGTCGTCGCCGCGGGTCCCGGCCTCGACGCGGACGCGCTCGAGCACGCGCTCCTCCTCGCGAGCGCCGAGCCCGCGGTGCCGCGCGCGAAACGCGACCGCGCGTCGCTGACCGACGACGACGTCGCGGCGCTCGACGCCGCCGCGCGCGACGCCGGGGCCCCGCTGCCGCCGGGCTGGGCCTTCGACGGGTCCGCCTACGCGAGCTTCGACGGCATCCGCACGAAGCTCCGGCCCGACATCGACGCGCTCGTCGACGCGCACCTGGCGGGCCTCAACGCGCAGATCGACCGCGAGAACGCCGCCATCGCGGCGTGAGCGACGGCGCGCGCCGTCCCCCCCCCCCCCCCTGAGCTAACGAGACGAGCATCCCGGCCCCCGAGAGCGCCGCGGGCTGGTGGAACTTCTCCTTCGCGCGGCCGCCGACGGCCATCAAGCCGCTCAGTCTTACCCGTCTTCCTCGTCGTCGCTATCCGAGTAGGCCAGCAGGGAGCCGAGGGCGCTCGCCTTCGGCGCCGCCGCCTCGGGGGCCGCCGCCTCGGGCGCCGCCGCCTCGGGCTCCTGCGCCTTCGGCGCCGCCGCCCCGGGCGCCGCCGCCGCGCCGAGGCGCCGCCGCTTCACGAGCGCGGGCGCGGGCGCCGCGGCGTCGGCGCGCCGCGGCTTCGCGGGCCGCGAGAAGTCGAAGGCCGGCGGCGCCGTCTTCGCCGACGCCTCGCGGAAGGCCCGGACCTCCGCGTCCTCGGCGTTCCGCCGCGCGCGCGCGCGCTCGTTGTCGAGGTGGAGCTGGTTCTTCGTATAATTCATGTCCGACGCGTCGAACATGCCCGTGCTCCCCAGGAACGCGGGCACGCGCACGGCGGCCTCCGCGTCGGCCTCGAACTCGGGCGCGTCGACGGAGCCGGCCATGGTGTCGTGCGTCGTCTTCATCTTGTCGCGGTCCTCGAGCTCCTCCTTCGAGAACTTGTAGCCCACCTTCTCCATGGCCTCTTCTTGCTTCGCCGCGGCCGCGTCGAAGAAGTTCATGCGCGGCACCGACGACGGGAACGTCTCCGGCATGGTGCTCGAGGTGGCGGCGCGGCGCGCAGGAGGCAGGTGACAGGTTGCTGGGGCGACGGCGGCTCGAGCTGCACCCGAGCGGCACTGCGGCGGCATCGTCAACCAAGGCGCTGCCCACTACCGGCGCTGGACGCGCCATGGCCGACGCCTCGGGCCTCGAGGCCATGCGGTCGTCGTCCCAGTCGGCGCCGAGCCTCGCGAGCCTGCGCGCGACGCGCCCCGCGCTGCCGAAGCCCGTGCGCGGCGGCGCGCAGCGGCTGCCCGCCGTCGCCGGCGCGAGGAAGCCGCCGGCGAAGAAGCCGTCGTCGGCGCCGAAGCGCGTGACCATCGCCGAGCCCGGCGAACACACCCCAGAGGCGCCGGGCGAGGGATTGGCCCGCGGCCGCGCCGTCGGCGCCTTCAACCTGGCCAAGCCCAAGCACCCGAATTTCGCGGAGTCGGAGTGGGAGAACGAGCTCGCGCGGTCCATTTTGGTGCTCTACGGGTCCGCCATGGGCGCCGACGAGGACGTCGAGGGCGCGGAGAACGACTTCGCCATCGACCGGGACGCCGTGCGCGTGCCGCGGGACAAGATCACGCGCGAGGAGGTCCGCGCGGGCGCCGCGCGCGAGGCGCGCGACAAACGGCGGACCGCCGCCGCGCGCGAGGCGCGCGACCGCAAGAAGCGCGAGAACCCCTTCAAGCACCCGGAGCGGCCCAATAGCGCCGAGGCCAAGCCGCGCAAGGCCTTCCCCTTGCTGAGCGCCAAGGTCCAGCCCATCTGGTTTTTAGGGAGCGGGCCCATCCCAGGGCAGCACAAGAGAGCGAGATTCCCAACTTCAAAGGCTCCGATCTCGGCCATTTTCCACTCGTTTCGGCTGATTCTTGGACGAGCGATCATCTCTCGGAACGGTCTCGACGCGTGGATGTTTTTCTCGTGACGCGCGCGCGCGTAACACTCACGTTGAAGCGACGTTGAATCACTCTCGTGCTGCCCAGGCCCATCCAGTCCGAGTGGGCGTCGCTCGCCGAGGGCGACGCGCTCGCGCTGGAGCTCGGCGCGCTCGAGGAGGCGGGCCTCTACGCCGCCTACCTCGAGCGCGTCGAGGCGTCGCTCAACGTCTACGGCCAGAAGCTCGACGAGCGGCCGGGCGACCTCTACAAGCGGCTCTGGCGCCGGCCCGCGCGGAAATCGACCGGCGACGTCGGGGCCAAACTTCAGAAATCTCGAGCTCGGTCACATCGATTCGGCTGATTTTTGGACGGATCGATGGCTCTCGTCGAGTTCTCGAAGCACGGCGAACGAGTCTGGTCCCAACCGTTCGATGACGCGCACGTTGAAGTCGGGTTGGAGATTTGGGTTCCGCGCAGGCGCCAGCTCGCGGTCACCGCGAACGTCTTCGGCGCGCGCTGCGTCGAGACGCGGCGCTTCGCGCCGGCGCTGGAGATCTTGAAGACGGCGGAGCGGCTCTGCGCCTGCCCGGAGATCCTGGACCGGGGCGAGATGGCGCAGCTCCGCGCGTTCGTCGACGACTCGCACGCGTTTTACTACTACACGCGCGCCAAGGCGCACGCGGCGCTCATGTACGCGACGCGGGCCATGCGCGTCCACGCGCGGCGCCGCGACTGGCCCCACGTCGCCAAGTGCCACCTCCACTCCGCGGCCATCCTCTCCAAGCTCCGGCGCCGCGCCGCGCGGGAATCAAATCATCAACCCGACTTCAATGTGAGCGTATTCGAATGTTTTGACACGAGCACGTCCGCTGTGCTTCGAGAACTCGACGAGAGCCATCGATCCGTCGAAAAATCAACCGAATCGACTTCGATGTGACCGAGCTAGAGAATTGCAAAGTTCGGTGGGGACGTCCCAAACCGGCGGTTGATTTCCACGCAGGCGCCACGCCGAGGCCGCGCGGTGCCTCGGCCAGGTGCTCCACCTCGTCGAGACGGGCGAGCTCGACGACCGCGGCGACGCGCCCCACAAGCTCTGCCTCGTCGCCGTGACGCACCACAACATCGCCGTCGAGCAGCTGCTCCTGCACCACGTCGAGGAAGCCGTCGTGTCCGCGCGCGGCCGCGCCCCCGTCCGCCCGTTCGTTCCGTCGACGCCGCGCGGGCCGACGAGAGCACGCGAGCGGGAGGCGTCCCATCGAGGCCGTCCGACGGCGCGCGCGCCGAAGACGCTTCTTTGTTCCGGCGCAGGCGCAGAACGCGCGTCGCCTCGCGCGGCTCTGCCTCTCCTACTCGAACCGCTGGCTCGACAAGTTCGAGTCGACGCACCGCTGCGCGGCCGAGGCGCTGTCGGCCATGGGCGGCGGCCTCGCCGAGGGCCTCGACAAGGCCCGGGGCCGCGGCAAGGGGGGCCGCGGCGAGGGCGGCCGCCTCACGCTGACCCACGGCGCCGCGCCCAAGGAGCGGCGGAAGACCGTCATGATCGCCGCCGGCTAGGGCCGGGGGGATGGCGCGTAATCCCACCGGCGGCGACGGTGGCGCTCCCGGGGTCGAGCGACGAGTCGTAGTATATACCAAGGACCACAAGATCCGAGACGCGGGCCCGTCCGCGACGCGGACAGGGGCGAGAGCGCGACAGCGACCGGCCGGAGTCGGACGCCGTGGCGGGCTGCGAGCCGAGGAGCCGCGCGCCCAGGCCGCGCTTCAGACCGCCGCGGCCTGCAGGCCTGCCGGCCGCTCCCGGGCCGTGGGGACCCTTGAAGTACCCACGCCCGAGTTCCAGAAGCCGCTGCGCTTCGGGGAGCGCCTCGAGCGCAACAAGAAGGCCCCGCCCACGGCGTGAACCGGGCGCCGTGTAAGTGTGGATAGACGAAACGCGCGCGCTCCCGCCAAGATGAAACGC